CGCGTCGGGACCATCGTCTCTGATCTCCTGGCGGGCTCGACGGCGTTGGGATGTTTTTCTGTACGGCGGACGTTCCATCTCCTCCTTTGCTGGCTTGGGTTTCCGGCTCTGCTGGCTCCGTGGTCGCACCCGAGATCTTTTCGCGGCTCCTCCTCTTCCTAGGCTCGATTGGCTCGTGGCGGGGCCAGTTCAGTTCTGCCTCGAGTCTCTCACTTTGTTGGTGGTCGGGTGGCTTCGTTAATGGTGTCCCACCTGCGTGCTTCTTCTTGGAGGCAGTGTGGGGTTTTTGGCGGTCGTTCCTTTTCTTGTCAATTTTCTGTAGCTGTGTTTGTTGGTGTGGTCTTGTCCTTCTCTTGTGCAGGTTTGGGGCTGTCATCTTGCCCCATACTGTCGCCTCGTATCGTACAGCACTGGCAGAGCCGCTTTAGCTTGCTTTTGGTATTGATGTTACATCTGCGCTGTTTCGCGAGCTGTCTAGTACATTGTTTCACCTCCGGCCTGCTTTTGCGCCGCCTGAGCCATCCAGGTCATTGGACAGTGCTTTTTTCTTTCTTCTCTTCGGTTTGTTGTGGCCCCTTCGGTTCAGGATTGTTCTCCAAGGCTCCTTTTCTGTTGGCACTGGACTGGACGGATTGGGGAGCTTCTTGCTCTCCTCCGGTGCAGGGGTTTTTGCTCTTTCGGTCTTCGTTGTGGTTTTGTTTCGTTTGCAGCCGTTTCCTTCTTTTCTGGCAAAGAATGGGATTGCTGCTTTCCGGAGGGGGTCTCTGGGTTGTGAATGCTTGGTTGGGTGCATCATGTTTTTTAATTTTTTTTTTTAATTACCTAAGTGTAGTTACAGGATGAAAGCTACACTCGTGGTGTCCCGTCTTCCCAGCACTCTTTGTCATATAACGCTTTGAAACTACTGATGGTCTTGGCCTCCACCACCTTCTCCCCTAACTTGTTCCAACCGTCTACCACTCTGTTTGCGAAAGTGAATTTTCTTATATTTCTTCGGCATCTGTGTTTAGCTAGTTTATATCTATGACCTCTTGCTCTTAATGTTCCAGGTCTCAAGAAATCTTCCCTATCGATTTTATCAATTCCTGTTACTATTTTGTATGTAGTGATCATATCACCTCTTTTTCTTCTGTCTTCTAGTTTTGGCATATTTAATGCCTCTAACCTCTCCTCGTAGCTCTTGCCCTTCAGTTCTGGGAGCCACTTAGTAGCATGTCTTTGCACCTTTTCCAGTTTGTTGATGTGCTTCTTAAGATATGGGCACCACACAACTGCTGCATATTCTAGCTTTGGCCTAACAAAAGTCGTGAACAATTTCTTTAGTATATCGCCATCCATGTATTTAAAAGCAATTCTGAAGTTAGAAAGCGTGGCATAGGCTCCTCACACAATATTCTTTATCTGGTCCTCAGGTGATAGTTTTCTATCTAGAACCACCCCTAGATCTCTTTCTTTATCAGAATGCTTTAAAGATTTCTCACATAATATATAGGTTGTGTGGGGTCTATGTTCTCCTATTCCACATTCCATAACATGGCATTTATTAACATTAAATTCCATTTGCCAAGTGGCGCTCCATGTACTTATTTTGTCCAGGTCTTCTTGAAGGGCATGACAATCATCTAAGTTTCTTATCCTTCCTATTATCTTAGCATCATCAGCAAACATGTTCATATAATTCTGTATACCAACTGGTAGATCATTTATGTAGACAATAAACATCACTGGTGCAAGAACTGAACCCTGTGGTACTCCACCTGTGACATTTCTCCAGTCCGATACATTGCCTCTGATCACAGCCCTCATTTTTCTATCAGTCAGAAAATTTTTCATCCATGTTAGAAGCGTACCTGTCACTCCTCCAATATTTTCCAGTTTCCAGAACAACCTCTTATGTGGAACTCTGTCGAAAGCCTTTTTGAGGTCCAGATAGATGCAGTCAACCAAACCATCTCTTTCCTGTAATATCTCTGTTGCTCGATCATAGAAACTGAGTAAATTCGATTATTATTATTAACATCTTTATTGACAAAATTAATTAAAATTTTGCCTAATCTGAGGATTTTGATAGTCTTATTAAATTGAGGTTAATGCTAGTATTCACTGTCACGCAGGACAGAGGGTCATACATAAGACAATAGGTCTAAACTGTAGGCTGAAGCACATATATATCACGGTTACAATCAATGTTTTAATGTGTGAATATGTGACAACAACTTTCTATTGTGCACTGCCACACAAGGGCAGGAGTAAATTCGATACACAGGATCTTCCAGATCGAAAACCATACTGTCTGTCTGATATTATATCATTTCTCTCCAGGTGTTCTACCCATTTAGTTTTAATTATTTTTTCCAATATTTTGACTATTACACTTGTCAATGATACCGGTCTATAATTAAGGGGGTCTTCCCTGCTTCCACTTTTGTAGATTGGAACTATGTTAGTCTTTTTCCACACATCAGCTACAACTCCTGTATACAGGGATGCCTGAAAAATCAGTTGAAGAGGAATGCTGAGCTCAGGTGCACATTCTCTCAGAACCCATGGTGAAACTCCATCTGGACCAACTGCTTTGTTCTTATTTAGCTCCTTGAGCATTTTTTCCACTTCGTCTCTAGACACCTCTATGTGCTCTATGTTGTTCTCTGGAATTCTTACTGTATCTGGTTCCCTGAAGATTTCATTTTGTACAAACACACTTTGGAATTTTTCGTTTAATGTTTCACACATTTCCTTTTCATTTTCCGTGAATCTATTTCCCATTTTCAACCTCTGAATATTATCCTTTACCTGCAATTTGTTGTTTATGAATTTATAGAATAGACCTGGTTCTGTTTTGCATTTGTCTGCAATCCCTTTTTCAAAATTTCTTTCTGCCTCTCTCCTCACTGCCGTGTAGTTGTTTCTCGCATCTTTGTATCGCTGGTATGTTTGGGGGTTCGGCCTCTTCCTGTATTGATTCCATTTTTGTGTCTTTTGGTCTCTGGCCCTCTCGCACTTTCTGTTGAACCAATCCTGTTTCCTAGTTCTGCTTCTCTGTTTTGGTATAATTTTTTTTGTGCCTTTATCATATATTTTACAAAACCTGACATACATCTCATTCACTTTCTTGCCTAGCAACAAGTCTGTCCAATTATACTCACTAAAATTTTTTCTAAGGTTGCCATAATGTCCTCTCCTAAAGTCAGGTTTTTCATTTGCATCGACCGTCATATTTTCTTCCAGATTATAACGCATTGCATACTTTATTCCCAAAATGACATGGTCACTTTTACCCAAGGGAGGAAGGTACTGAATGTCAAATATTTCTTCCTCCTTCCTGGTAAATATCAAATCTAGCATGGAGGGGACGTCCCCTTCCCTCATCCTCGGAGCTTGTTTAACATGTTGATACAAGAATGTTTCCAGGATGAGGTCTACAAATTTACAGGTCCAGAAATCTTCTGTTTTAGCTTCATATGCTTCCCAGTCTATGGATTTCAAGTTGAAGTCGCCGACTATCAACAGTCGTGAACTATCGTTATCCGCTCTCGCTATGATCTCTCTCATTATTGTTATAAGACCTTCTCGTTTACTATTGTGTCCGGTTGCGGCTCTTCGCCGTTATTTGCGCCACGGCTTCTGTGTCCGGGGACACATTTTGGGTTGATCCAGTTTCCCTTCTTCCCTGTTCGAGGATGCGGGTCTCCCAGGATGTCCGCAGTTATTAAGGCTAGCCAGCCTGCGATATTTCCATGTGCCCATGACGTTCGTAAGTTTGCTGCTCTTGCTGCCGTCTTTGGCGACGTGTCGTGGGCTGACATTTGGGCACTGGGCTTTTGGCGGTCGAACAGGAACCTGGCTGCTCGTTACCTTGTGAATGTCCCTTGGCCTAGTTGGGCCTGTGTCGTTTTGGGTCGGCGGTTGCAGCCAATTGTCTTGACTTCGAGTTGAGGAGTGAGCAACGACCGCCTCATGGGTACGTCCCTAAGCTTTTCCTCTGGGTAGTTAGCTACGGGGAACTGAGGGGGTTCCCCCCAAAGAAACAGCGTTGATTGTAATGAAACACCATTTTCTGGGTGAGACCTGGAGGCTCCCCGGCATCCCTCCCTCCCTCCGGTCGGCGTTTTTTTGCGTGTTTTGACATCCAGCCTAAGAACTAAAGGGTGGATAGCTGGCGTGTGGGGTCTGGGGCTCCCCCCTTTCCCCTCCCAGGGAGGGAGGAGCTGCGCAGACAGCGGCGCGGTGACGTGTGACGTTATGATAGTTTGCTCAATTCGTTTAGGGGAGTTCTCTCCACTTGTTCGGCATTTGATAGCAATATTTTCACCAGAATACGGGTTTGTTTTGGGATGCTTACCTTTCTGGGTGCCTGACCCGGTCGATGGCACACAGAATGCTTCCAACCACATGGGGGGTTTCTATAGGCCATTACTTCCCTTCCCTCTCTGAGGGGGCCAGGTTCTGGCTCATGGTTCCCGGTAGGCCCATAGAACTCCATACAGGTGACTGATGCCAAAGTCTGACATTAGCATATCAGCCTGGATAAGCTCCGAGGAGCCTCCGGGTCTCGCCCAGAAAATGGTGTTTCATTACATTCAACACTGGTTTTTTGCCTTGGCCATGGTAGGTTTTGTTGCAGTTTATGGTATTGGATAACATTCATGCAACAGGACTGGCTAGTGAATGCCACATATTCATACTAGTGGACTGACTGATATATTTTCTGATGATATTCTTGTTGTTTTTCTCCCCAGTTTTTCCTGTGTTGTATTTTTTCTATGTGCTCATGTTCCACATTTACTGCTATTGTCTTGTTCACTAACCAAGATATCCTCTCAAATATATCCTAGTTTTATTAAATTTTAAATAATCAAGCATATTGCCTTCTGGCATACATCTAAGTTAGCAGGCAATAGTTCCATGGTGTTTTATATTTAACAACTTGAATTTGCTCGAAAGCAGCCTCGGTTGAATCATTGGGTAAACATGAGTATTATCCTATTCTTCTCTTTCAGGGTGTATATTGTGAACTCGACAAATGCTGCTTGTCAGAAATCTCTCGATACAATTTGTGAGGCTATACGTCACTTGGAGGGTGACCACATGTTCCAGACAGAGGACCAACATCCACGCATCGAAGAAGAGATAATTACAGAAGAAACGCTAACGATTGAAGACCACACTGGTCTTGGAGAAGAGCAGGTACCAGTAACTCTTGGGAGTGGACAGGTGACCCTTGCTGGGGACAATGAACCAATTACCCTGCATATGGTAGGAGAACCTCAAGAAGTTCCTCTTGAACTAACCACAACCCATCGTCCCACTCAGCACTCGACGAGCCTCTCTAACACGAGTCGACTACCCCAGCAATCTACCATTAATCTCACTGCCAATAGTCGTTTGGCTCTGCATCCTGCAACTAATGTCTCCAATTTATCAACCAGCACGAGGGTTTCACAGCAGCTGCCTAATCATGCCACTGCAAGCATCGAGGCAGTACCTATTTCTAGTATTTCTACCAACACATCTTCCATTTCCTCATCTTCGTCAAATTTACTACAGGCAACAAGACCAGGTGTCATTGTGGTGAAACATCCATAAAATTATTACTTAAGACCTCGTGTGTGGGTCAGCTGTGTTAATAAGCTAAGGAATTTAAATTATGCTACTGTTAACTGCAAGTCTTGAACAACTTGGTGTTTTCTAAATGCGGTTATGGACTCTGCTCTCTCATGCTTGACTTGTGGAACTTGCTATGATACTAAACTGTGCAGCAAAATAAGTAAGATAGTGTTTTACACTGTATGGCATTTTTGAGTGAGTGGTCAGGTAGTAATACCTGAATTGTAAAACTTGTACATAGCAGTTTTCGGTGTATAAAGTGTAGGTTAAGCGTTTGGAGATCTGACAAGTCACCAGATGCACCAAAAGTGACTGGCAGAATCTCATGTGTCATCTGCTTGATTGTTCTGCTTGGATGAAACGTGTTGTCACATTTATATGTAGTGTTTGGGCAGGGCTTTCACCACAAACGAGGCCCTATGTAGGCAGTTGCAATCTGGATCCATACTTTTTAAAGCAGAGCTTTGGGTATGAACAGTGCTAAGGTGTCTTTTGCTTTTGGTTTATATATATATTTTTTTTTGTTGGCTGTATATCAAAAGATAAATCCATTAATACTGTTGGGTGACAGCTATCCTGGGCATGCTACACGGAGACATATCTGGCTTAGAACTAGAGATCATTAAAACTGAAATTTTAGCGTAGCATATATGCTTTTCAGTTAGTGCAGAGGTTTTGGTCAATTGTTGCCAGATCTACAGCAATTTGTTGTCAATTTTATATTTACCAATACTGTACTATATAATGTAATTTAAAAAGAATGCTTTTGTAATTTGGTACACCATAAGGAAAAGGGGCTTCTCTAAAGTAAGCTAGGTAGTTATCCTTTAATTAACTTCATAATCTGGTCCTGTAAGAGCTGGGGTAACCAGTGACTGGTGATGGCAAATATACTTTCAATTTAGTCCCTCGTCGGTATTTGTAGTTTATGGAAGTTATGCACGTAATTTTCATGCTTGTTGTGGGACATTATTATTTTTTACCGGTGATTTTGAGAAAGACCATAACAAGAAAATCTGTAGGAGCTGCCATGAGGATTGGAACCTATACGCTGAGGTGTTCCCAGGCACACACTCCAGATAACTAGGCCATAACCTAGTTAAAAGATTGCAACGTGGGGTTCTACTGCACCCCCACGAGGATTCCTGAGGTTTCCACTGAAGCCGAACCAGAGTTTCACAATCCCGCCCCCCCCCCATGCACTCTGGCTCTGTCATCTAGGAATGTTCCACCTCTGATGCTCCTCTTTCAAAACATAGAGAGTAATCACAACAAAGTGATGCATCAGTGAGAAAATCCATAGAGGCAGTGATGAGGATTCGAACCTATGCGCTGGGTGTTCCCAGGCTGGGTGGTGGTTGGAGCACGTGCCTGGGAACACCCAGCACATACGTTCGAATCTTCATCATGGCTTCTACAGATGTTAATACATCATGTTAGTGTGATTAGTTTGTGCATTGAAAGAGAAGCCTCAGAGGTAGAACATTCCTGGATGACAGAGCCAGAGTGCTCTGGCACTCTGGGGGGAAGGGATTTGTGTGAAAAGCTGGTTTGGCTTCAGTGGAAGCCTCGGGAATCCTTGTGGGGTGCAGTAGTACCCCTAGGTTGCAATACTTTTACCATGTCCTGGCCTAGTTGTCTGGAGCGTGTGCCTGTTAACACCCAGCACATAGGTTTGAATCCTCTTCACGGCCTCCACGGAGTTTCTTAATGATGCATCACATTAGTGTGATTACTCTGTGTACAGTAACGAGAATCTGGAAACTACCAGTAATGAAGGATATGTAGTTGTCAGCCACCGTGTATGATCTAGATATTTTTTGAGTTCATCGACGTGTTTGTGTAATACTTTTAATAACTTTGGACCTTGCTATTAAATAGCACGTATATATATCCCTATGATATGTTTGTTAATGATTAGTGCTTTCAAATTATGTTTCTTTTGGAAAATCGAAACATATAAAACCCCAAAATTCTATTCCTTTGAGGCCAAGCCTTCCGTGTGAAACTCACTTTAATAACTCCTACAAAATACATCAAACCAAATATTTTGTTGACATGTATGGGCTATTTACATAAAGTTGTGTTCTCTTTTGTTGCCTCTATTAAAAATGGAAACATTTTGATTTCTTGGTTTTAGAGTGTAAATCACTAATGAGAAGTTTTGTTTGTTGTATGGTACAGTTTCCTATTGACATAAATTTGGGAAATAAATGTAAATAATGTACATTTATTGTACAAATGCTCAAAAATGGGAGTGTGAAAATTAAACTTAATTTATTGTTCACGATATTAAAGATAAAAAGTCGATAAATTGACATTTGATTTGATATTATATGACCATTTCAATGAATGTAGGCATGGGTTTAAGTCGGTGTCCTATTAGCTCATTACATTAAAAAAAATATCTGCATAAATTTTAAAAGGACACTCCCAGACTATAGTTGTCCTTGGTAACTTCAGCAAATATGAGTTATTGTGATTGTGATGTACCTTGGTAGAGGATGCATGGTTGTAGGTTTGCTCCAAACTAGCAATGTGTAGGGATTTACCTCCTTTTCATTCCCAAAGTTCTTTGTGAATTGAAAGAGCTGTGTGCACATTATAACAGGTTTGGATGCCATTCTCATGCCCCCTAGTGTATCCTGGATGTTACATTATTCTATATTACATAGAAATGTTGGTTTTGTATATTTGGAGATATACAAATACAAAAGATACACCCCACTTGTATGTAGATAATTAATAGGGATTGGGAAAATTAGATTTTTATATCGATACAATGTTACGGAGGGTACAGTTTACAGGTGCTTGTTTCTCTGTGTTTTACTGCTAGAACACCATCCAATATGTATGTCAAAAGTGGAAGTGGTAATGAAATACTGTACATACAGCATATTTACATTTGTTGGTATGCAATGCAGTTTAATTTCTCTCCCATTAGTGTATATAAAAATTGGAATACCTTAACAAAAGTACAAGGCAGCTTGCACGTAAGTGTATTATATTAATTTTTTTTAATTGAAGCAATCTTAAGTGAATAATCAGTGCAGTGTGGACAAGTCAAATTTAGTTTTATATTTTGGCCAGAGTATAATGTTAATTCCATTAGAATGTTGTTAACATTTAAAAATGGTACATGTGCTTGGCCAAGAAAAGCTTATTTTTAATGGCAGTTACATAGTAACAAGTTGCTTCTGTGGAGCATTATGTACTAGCTGTACTCAATATGTATAAACATAACAAATGTACAGAGCAAATTAGCATTAACTATTAGTAAGGGAAGGGGTCCAGTCATGTGTCCAGGATAGAAATTGCATTGATAATATGAAAATGTTCCCATGCCACTTGAAGTTGAAAGCATTTTGAGGTCGGCTTCCTGTGCTCTACCTTGGCCAGTTTGTGCACCAGTTTCTTCAAGAGAATATTAACATGATTGAATTGAAAATTTGTGTGAATGTGCCACCTGGTATATTTTGAGATTTGCTCTTGTGATTTTGATACTTTTTTAATTAAAAGAAAATCACTCGGCTGAGCTTTTGGCTGTCACGGGCCGCTTATTTAGGGGATAGGGTTTATACTTAATGACTTTTCATTTATAGGCCTTTCAGTCTTGTCAAATATAAACTTACTGGGAGGCTTCAGCATTTGCTCAAGTAGGGTACTTCAGGACTAGTTCTGTTTTGGCACGGGAGGTATCCCTGGTTGGTATGTCATGGGATTTTGTACTGAGAATGGAATTTGGGTAGATAAACCTTATGCTAGTTTTAAGAGTTAGTCTTGGACCATTGGAAGTTTGAACATATGCCAAATTTTACTGTGTCATCTCTTGTGCCAGAAAAGAACTTTGTCTTACCTCATTACAATTTTTGGAAGCAGTCCATGGTGTCTTAAGCACCCAATAGCAGCATAGGGTTGAAGTTTTGCAGCTTGGGTGACTGGACAGCGAGTTGAAAATTTGCAGTCTTCGTGTCATAACAAATTTACAATTCAATGTAGCAATGTCCACATTTTAAAGCAGTTAAATGGGAGGAGAGGTAAGGCCAGTAAACACTTGAAGTCAAATTCAGATTTTATATTAATTTTGTTTAGCTCCTCCATATTGATACTGCCAGCTCTCACATGCTGCTATTGGCTGCTTGGTGTGGCTTTCATATTTTCTTATTCTCATTGAACATTTGTAATTAACTGTACATTGAGTACAGTGTTATTGTAGACATTATTACCATATTGCACAGTCATGTGTAAACGTAATCTGTGTGTTGAGGAACTTTTTTTTTTTTTTTTTAAATCAAAGTTTTAAACTTTGAAGTTAGGTTTTGTGAATGCACTGATTGTGGGACAAGTTGGTGTGCGAGTTTTACAACTGGCATAACATATGTAAGTGAGAGTATTTGAACTGTCAAGTGTTTTCCAGAGAGGAACTATTGGAGCTGGCATAGATCTAATTCAGTACAGTATTAATGTTAGTAAACACTGCAAAACTGATTTTGCTGTGATCTTTCTTGCAGAAGGCAGAGTACAAAATCAAATTTCAATATAATGGTTTAGATGAAATGTTTTTCATCAAAATTATAAACATTGCCACAAGGAAAGTAACAAATGTCTAACTACTGTATGTGCATTAGTGTTTAAAGAAAAATTCAGCGTGGTTGTCAATTTTGAAACAGCCATTGTGAACTTCTGCTATATGAATCTCAAATTAAGTGATTATTAACTTTAACAAAGGTCAGTCATTGCTAACTACATATTTTAATTAGCAACAACTTGCACTTGGTGTGCAAGGTATTTGAAAGTACAAATATTTATTACTTTTCTCCCAAGTTTTGATATGTTACTGTCCTTTGGATGTCCATATTTTCTCCTGAAAAGCTAAAAAACTGCCAGTAAATTTTAAGGAGTAGAATGTGAAAGTTTTGATTTTTAAGTTTTGGGGAAAATGTAGACTTCCACTGGAGTGAAATGCAAAGGTCTAATACTCTCACTGTCATATGCAAACATATTGTGTATAGATGGTGTTTTTTTTCTTCTACAGTGATGGTAAAATGGTGTTGACACCGGTGTTGAGTGCTGCAACATGTTTGTAATTATGCTCCCACTTGTGTATGCAGGTCGTTACTGCAGTGATGAAAAAGTTCCCATTACATTGAGATTTCACATAGTGCAGTAACAGGAACCCAGAACTCTGCTGTCAAACATTTGTATATAATTAGGCTGGATTGCTGCAGTGATGTTACCCAGTGCTTTGGCCACCACTTGTCTGCAGGCTGACTCCTTAAAAAAACCAAAGATTTGTACTTTTTGTTACCCTGTCAGTTTTGTGTCTTCATTAATAATTGTACATTTTGAGTTAAGTCTGAACCTCGCAAAAACTCCAAACCCAAACATTTCCTAGCAGGCATCTGCTTCATTTTTTTTAATCCAACTTTATTTTCCTCACAAATATTATATAACTGGAGATATAATATGGAAAAAAGATTTTACCTTGTTTGTATTATCCTTTATGTAGTACTGTACTTATATTCTTGCACCCCATAATCAAGAGAAAGGGTTGTTGGGTTCACAGAATGTCATCCACTTGCTTGAAGTTAGTTATTTGATTTATATCTCGCTTTTCAGGTTGAATTAACGACTTTAAATGTGTTGTGTTCACTTTCAGCCTGTATTGTAAACACTTAATGTGTGTTTACAATATAGCCTGGTGTTATTAAACCCCAGGCTGTGAGCCTTCTTTTGATAATACATGTTGCTTCCAGACTGTCTCTGGCAGTCACTTGTCCCTGGATAGCTTCCTTGGTGAATCGGATGCCTTTGATATTGCTCGCCTTGTGCGCTTTGCATCTTGGCATTTGTATTGGCATCTTGGTGACATTAAGCACCTTATGAATATTCTGCAACTTTGATGGTGATACATAGTCTTCCTGGCTTAGCACCTTCTTTTGATAATTACTTACTTGATAATACACCTAAATAAGCATAACCCCCATTATATTATTTATATTAGAGATTAAACCCAATTATCACTACCATATGAAATGTTCATCCTGTAAGTTTGCCGTTTGCTGCATAAATCTTTGTGAAGTTTTAAATAAAATAAAAACAATTCTGTTGACTTCCAGCTAGGGTTGTATTTTTACACGGCAAGTAGTCATCAAAAAGGTGCCAAGCTGGGAAGACTTTGCTGCATGCTCTTGTCACTGGATATTCAGTAGGCTAAATATTCAGGTCTTTGGATGCCAATATGAGGGCATAAGGCGAGGATCAAGGGACAAGTGATCCCAAGGAATACTAGAAAAGCAAGATACCATAGTTTTGGAAGTGTGACATTCTTCAGGAGGTGCACGACAAGGTGGGACAAGCAGCTGGGAAATGTTCCATTTGTGCCCATGAGTTAATCATGGGTGGCGGATGTGCAACCTAGCCACAGCCCACTACCTTACAGATTTAGGAGAGCCAAGTTTACTTGTAATGCCAGACCAACGACCTTCCCAACAATCGCAGAATGAACGAGTAGAAATCCGAATAAGGAATCCCTTTCCAGGAAACAGGACAAATGTGAATGTCATCCTTAGCAGCAGTGGACACTGCTGCTAAGGACAATATTCACATTTGTGTTCAAATGAATTAGTGTTACCTTAAATTCTTTATTCATTTAAGGTAACACTAACGTGTTAGGAACCCAGCAAATTAACCGTCATAAGTCTGCTAGAGATATAAAACAGTCAGTATTCTGAACCATGGAGGGGGGGGGGGGACCACTGAAAGAGTCTACCACAATGCCAAAGGAATATTGAAGTTGGAGAAACAGCTGACAAAGGTTATACAAAATTACAAAAACTTACTGCTGCGAAGATGCTGGTCTGGGATCAAGAGGCATACATAAGTTTGGTCAGGAAAGACGGTGGAGTAGTCAACACTATCGGTGGACTTTAACCCATCTGTGAACAGATGAAGGTCAAACCTTCATGTGGGTGAAGGTTTGTACCTTTCTTCCCCCTCCCTTTCTGGCCTGTTATCGTCGTGAGAGGGCTTGTTGGGCAGCTGCTGGAGTGTGATGCTCCATGGGTCAGTCCTCTGTCCTTTTGAAGCCTTATGCTCCTGCTGTTATCTTTACCAATTTTGCCAGAAAAATTTTCCTTTTCCTTGTGTTTCATTTTTCTCCCCCTCTCTTCTCGTTTCTAACTGTCATTTCGTGCCGACCTTTTGCCAGTCTTGATTATTCTTTTGGACTTCTTCTATTTTGATGCCCGGGTGTTTGGGGAGGCACTCTCTCTCACCCGTAGAACTGCAGTACCCAATGTCACGAACTAGGGGACGCTTTTATTGTCGATCCAGCTTTCGTCGCTAAACCCAATCTCGACGGACTGATGGTTCTAAAGGTGGCAATTGTGGGGCGTATACTCACGACACACTCCTAGGGGGCCCCGGTAACATGTCTCATGTTGGGTATCCTATCCTCTAATTGTGGCTCCGTGGTGGGTAAAGGGTAATACTTTCATTCGTGAATGAAAGTATTACCTCTTTTTTTTCATGTCGCTGATTACTGTTCTTATGACTTCTCAGGCTCGTGAGATGGGTGACCAAGGCCCCGAGTCGGAATGTGTTGGAAGACCGGGCTCTGTAGCCCTTGCTACATTGGGCCCAGACCTAGCTGCTCCTTTGACCCTCCTGATTACTCCCGCCGGCTTCCCTCCCTCGTCTGTGGTTGGGTCGAGCCACACACCCCCAGCGGTGACCACCTCGTCCCCTGGCACGACTCGGTCTCTCATTTTGACTGCTGCACCTTTTAACCCCTCTCTCTCTATGGGTTCTCAATGTCGTTCCTGCCACGGCCGCACTCGCACGATCCCTTCCCATACTAATACGTACCAAGCCTTGTTTGGTCCTGTTTCGTGGGCTAAATACTTTGATCTCCTCCCTCAGGGTTCTACATCTCCTGACGATTTCTCACTTCATAAACATGTTGATTCAGTGGATGCCTCTGTTACTTTTAACCCCACCCGTTCAGGTACACGTGTCGTCGCTGCTCCTTCACCTGAGGCAGCTACCCACTTAGCCGCATTGTCCTGCATTGGGGAGACCCTGTTCGGGTCTCCAAAAACACTCTGTTAAATGCCAGTGTTAACGCTTTTCTCCCGTACCATGTTGCAACTGGTGTTAGGGACCTAAATGACTGCCATGAGGATATTAAACCTATCCTCGAAGCCCAAGGCCATTCTGTCCTCCAGGTGGACACGTTCACTCGACCCCTTCGTGGTCGCCGCCGTCAGCCCCTTTGAGTTGTAAAAATCACCTTCAATAGTAGGTCTTCTTCTGGATGGTAGGACCCTACTACCTTCTATAATTCTTGCTGGTGCCAGGTGCTCCGTTCTGGAGTACATCCCCTCTCCTAGACTTTGTAATAAGTGCTGGAAGTTTGGGCATGATGACCTCATATACACAAGTCTTGTTTCTCTATTCCCCATGTGTGGGGACGATAGCCACTCTAAGATTGCTCATCTCTCCAGGCTCGCTGCCTCAATTGTGGTGAGGCCCACCCTACTTTCTCCCGCACGTGTATCTACTACAAGCTTGAGGAAGCAGTCCTCAACTTGAAACACCAAGATCATTTGACTTTTCCTGAAGCGAAACACCAAGTCTGCTGTCTCCACCCTTTCACTGGCGAATCTTATGCTCATGTGTTGTTTTCTACCTGTCCTTGTCCTTCCCTCCTCCCTCAGTCCCACAGCTGCGTTTCCAGGCCTTGGACCTGGACACGCCCACAATCTCCTCCCCTATTCCTTTACGTTCTGTCCCGGAAGGTCTCCCTCCTGATTCTCCTCCTGGAGTTTCACCCCCTTCCTACCCTGTCCGCCATGTCTCCTGTGTCTTCTTTTCCTTCTCCCCCCGATCCTTCTTCCCAACCCTCTCCACAGTCTCTTGGCCCTCCACACCATCTGTGTGTCCAGGCTGATGTCCATCATCCTCCCAGCAATCTTCATGTTGTTCACTCCCGTTCTTCTTCTCCTGTCGAGACCATTGAGTTTGTCGTCCAGTACGTTGTTACTGGAACACCTGTCTCTCTAAGTTAGAAACGTAAGCCTGGCTCTCTCCTTCCTCCTCCCTAGCGGGTAAGAAGGCATCGCTTTCTTCCTCGCCCCCCAACTCTGACTATCACTACGTCCCCTCCCATTTCGGTGGTCGGGTCCCCCTGTCCCAGCTATGGAAGTTTCTTATGCCCCCGATTCCCTCTCGGTTGCTGTCCTTGCTGAGGTGCGCTCCCCGGTTTCTGCCCCTCCTCCTCCTGTCTTTGACAGCCACTCTGTTGTCTTCTCCTCCTCCAGACCTCGTCTGTCTACCTCTGGTCTGTCCTCTCGCTCCCTTCCCTCCATCCTTACTAAGTTTACCCATACCCCCTATCCCTGATTTTGCTGATCCTGATTCTGGTCCTGAGCTTCTTTAATATACTGTGTTTTTCCTTACCTTTGTTTCTTCATTGTTCTCTGTTGCTGTCCTTTCTCTTTTTGATAATGTCTATTCTTCAATGGAATATTCGTGGATTTTATGCCACCTTCCATGAACTATAACTTCTGATTACACAGTTTTCACCACTTTGTGTTTGTCTCCAGGAGCTGATGTTTGGTGCTTATCCTGGTCGCTTTCGTGGTTATTCCTTTCTTTCCTCCCTCAGCTCTTACTGGGGCCCATAATTCTACTGCTCTCTTGATTCGTACTGATATTCCCTTCGTCCCCCTACTGTTTCCATCGCCTATCCATTGTTCTGCTGCCCGTGTTTTTGTGAGTAAATGATATACAGTCTGTTCCATTTATATTCCCCCAAATGTACCGTTTAGCCGCATTGTCCAGCATTGGAGAGACCCTTGTTAGGATCTCCAAAGTGCCCGGTTAAATGCCAGTATTGGCCCTGTACTCCTCCCGCACCATGTTGCGACTGGTGTTAGGGACCTGAAAGACTGCCACTAATATATTAAACATATCCTTGAAGCCCAAGGTCATTCTGTCCTCCAGGTTGATACGTTCACCCGACCCCCTCGTGAGTAGTGGAAATAGGCCCATAGAGCGGCAATTTTGTTTTTTTCGACTGCCGCTCTACGTCGCAGGGTTATTTTCAACTTTTAGACCGGCAATTTTGTTTTTTTTTCGACTGCCGCTCTACGTCGCAAGGTTATTTTCAACTTTTAGACCGGCAATTTTGTTTTTTTTTCGACTGCCGCTCTACGTCGCAGGGTTATTTTTCAACTTTTAGACCGGCAATATTGTTTTTTTCGACTGCCGCTCTACGTCGCAGGGTTATTTTTCAACTTTTAGACCGGCAATTTTGTTTTTTCGACTGTCGCTCTACGTCGCAGGGTTATTTTTCAACTTTTAGACCGGCAATTTTGTTTTTTTCGACTGCCGCTCTACGTCGCAGGGTTATTTTTCAACTTTTAGACCTACAATTTTGTTTTTTTCGACTGCCGCTCTACGTCGCAGGGTTAT